TTTGTGGCACACGTAGAGGTGCTGTTTAGTTTTGTCGGCCACTGCGCCTGCGGTCGTCCCAAAACTGTCTTATCATCGGATCCAGGTGGGTGAGGGAGGAGAGCGTGGAAGACGCCGTGCAAGTCTGCTCCATTATAAACAAATTCATGCAGAAATCACCGTCCTGTGCCTACTTCATGGGACACACGGTGGACATGATCACATGCGACGGTCGAATTGTCGCATACTAACTAGAATAAACTACATTTCAAGCAGCAATATCCAAATCAAAAAATTACGCCTCTGTTTCAAGAAATAAATTATGATTGTGTATTTTAATGTGCATTTCAGGCCCCGCGAAATCCCTATGAACCTGGGAAGGGTTGTTTCTGGCGAATCGATCCGCAGTTTGAGGATAGACTTCTTGCGCAGGCCTACAAAAGGAGGAGACCACAGACTGCAGTTGAAACCATTTCTGAAACATTGGCCTGCATACCACGCTCTTCGCTGCCGGCGAATCAGATCGCTTTCTCTAATATCTCTTCACAGGCGACCTTCATTCAGACATCTTGGAGCTCGCCGGTCGTGTCAGAGGGTCCCAGACCGTTCATTGCAAGCCCAATTGTGCTACCTACCGTTCTGCTGCCCGCCAGAAGAAATGCCAGTTCCTGTAGGTTTTCCCACTCCTCCTGTCTTCTGCTTAACGCCTTTCTGACCCTTTTCGAATTCTTCGGTCTGAATGGTTGTTCCTGGCCTATTAGCCGTCGTCAGCCAGCCATACCCCGACCGCGGTTTCGGCTAACTCGGGATTCGATCCCTGACTCTTTTGCCACTGAGAGTTGAATTCAGGACTGCCATTAAGCTGCGTTGGGGTGGTTGTGGTCGGGAATATTAACTAGCGTAGGAGGGCCGTTCGCCGATCCATCTTCAGTACATAACATACCCGCCCCGTCAACCTTTGTCAACTGCAAGGCGGCAGGAACCCTTGAGCAGGCTGTGTATTTGCCCAGCTTTGCGGACTGTCGCTCGAGTCCAGACGCGGAAATAAAATCATGGCATTTACAACCCATGGCTTAAATACGTAAGGCCAAAATCTGTCCCTCGTTGGCGAAAGCGTTGAGGTTAGTTACTAACGGTGTCGGCTGCTTTCATCCTTCAGCACTCTTACTTGTTGGCTTTTGAAACTGTGTCGCGGTCCGCGTTTTTCATCCGCCGTTTGGACTAACGGCTGCGATTTTTGCACCCACCTGGCTGAGCAGAGAATGTTGGTGTTGCCGGCTGGCAGTCGACACTCCTTTTTGCTCATGGCAACCTTCGCATGTGTGCTCTAGCTGAACTGGCTGACTTGACATCGTTGCCTCGCGATCGACCGTCCGGGTTAAATGAAGCGCCACAGCTACGCAGGTCCGGACGTGAGGCCACTGTGACGCTCACTTCTCCGGCACGAATACTAATGACGCCAACGTGAGGGTTGCTAGCCTTGCTTGTGGTCTTCTAAACGTTGAGTGGCTCAGTTTGGCAAACAGATGCGAGGCCGCCGCACAGCTAGAGTGCTCTGGACGCCGTCGGCCTTCTCATATTCAGCACGAAAAATGCTCCTCTCAGCTGTTCGGTGGCGACAGGTCGGTAGCGACAGTCCCACGCACCAGAGCCAACAGTGACTGAGAATTCTCCTGCTTCTATGGCGTATCAGGGCCTAAAGAGTGTAATTCCGTTTGTTGTCAGTATAGTTGACAGTGCACCCCACGAGGGGCCACTCGGGAGT